TATGTATGTTTTTTTGTATATATATATATGATTATATATATATATATATATATATATATATGTATATATATATATATATATAAATATGTGTATATATATATATTCTATATAAATATATATGTGTATATATATGTGATTATATATATCTGTATATATATATATATGTACGTGTATATATGTATGTATATGTACCTGTATATATACAATTTAACCACGGATATAAGAGAGTTGTCGGGCTTGGAGAAGAAGTCTCTTATAATGGGTTACCTAATTATTTTATATACATTAACACAGGATCTAATTTGGGACCAGAGAAAATCTCTCTTATATCCGAATTTTCTCTTATATCCGGTTAACTGTAGAATACACATATGTATGTGTATATGAATATATATACATATTTATATATATATGTGTATATATTTGTATATACATGTATATGTATATAATATATGTGTATATATATATATATGTATTTGTATCTAAGTTATATATGTATGTTTGTGTATTATGTATATATTTATGTTTGTTATGTACATATATACATCAAAATGTGTGTATATATATATATATAAACATAGTTTTATATATATTTGCAAATAGAAATGTATACAATATATATATATATATATATATATATATATATATATATTAAATATGTAAATATGTATATATAGATGTATGTTAAATATGTATATATAGATGTATGTGTGTATATATATGTGTCTGTATATCTATGTATATATATAGATGTATGTGTGTATATATATTGCATATATATAGATGTATTTGTGCATACATATATGTATATATACATGTATGTGTGAATATATATATGTATATGAAAGAAAAATACAGAAAAAACAAACAAAAATCTGAATATGCAATTATGTAGTATTAATGTTAAAATAAAGTCGACGTCGGACGTTTCGCTCTATTTAAGACCATCTTCATGGACATTTTCATTTAAACATAATTAACATTAGAACTTATAAAAATTTAACACAAAAGACGATGGACATAAGAGCCCAACTAATCAAACAGATAACTGAAATTTTATACAGATCAGCGTTCCGTTTAAATATGATCACGTAGTCGTCACGTGGGCGATGTTGTTAAGACGTATTCGAAGATGATTTTCAAAAATTAAAATATTAAAAAGTCGATTGAAAATTTTTTTTATAAACAGTTCAAGAAATCTCTTCCGTTGATGTCGGAATACGTAGTGATCAATTGGTTCTTATATCTTCAACAAGCTTGAAGTCCTTCCCGTTACAAGGCAAATCAAAAATGATTTCAAAAACGATGGAACAGTTCTAAAAAATAGTTCGATAATAAATCCATTCCTTACTTGATCAATAGATTCTATTATTCTCGTCCAAGCTTGAAATCTTCCACGTTATAAAGTAAATTCAGGTTTGTATTTCCAGTAGACAGTATGTAAGCAAATATATGGATATAGATCCGACAGTATGAAAGAAAAATACAGAAAAAACAAACAAAAATAGACCGAAACGTCCGACGTCGACTTTATTTTAACATTAATACTACATAATTGCATATTCAGATTTTTGTTTGTTTTTTCTGTATTTTTCTTTCATACTGTCGGATCTATATCCATATATTTGCTTACATATATGTATATATAGATGTATGTGTGTATATATGTGTATATGTATATATATGTGCGTCTAAATATATATGTATGTGAGTGTATATATATGCATATGAAGTGAGTGTATATATGTATATATTTGTGTGTACATATGTATATATTTGTGTGTATATATATGTATATATGTGTATATATATGTGCATATATCTATGTGTCTATATGTGTGTGTGTCTGTATATGTACGTGTATATATATATGTATGTGTCTCTACATATATATGTATATATATATGTATGTGGGTGTATATATATATATGTATGCGTGTGTATGTATATGTATATACTTATATATATATGTATATACATGTGTGTATATATATGTTTGTTTATATCTGTATCTTTATATGTGTGTGTATATATATGTATATATATATGTATGTGTTTATATATGTATGTGTATATATATGTATGTATATATATATATATATATATGTATGTTTGTATAAATATATGTATATACATGTTGAAGGAGTATCAGCTTGCTATGAGTTCCTTAGTAACAAAAAATTACCTAACTACCAAATTACAGATATATGCCAATTAATAAATTCCATCTTAACACATAATAATTTTAAATTCAACAACAAACACTATTTACAGATTAGTGGCACAGCAATGGGCACAATAATGGCACCTAGTTATGCTAATATCTTTATGCACATTCTAGAAAAGAAGATACTAGACAATTCAGAATATAGACCATCACATTACTTTAGATATATTGATGACATTTTCTTACTATGGACTCATGGATCAGAGAAATTAAAAACCTTTTTCCCTTTCTGCAACAACTTCCACCATACAATTAAATTTACCATGGAGCACTCACACATCCATCCCTTTCTTAGACGTTATGATAAAATTAAACAAACATACACTTTCTACCAGTCTATACAACAAACCCACAAACCAACATAAATTCCTGCACTTTAACAGCTGTCATCCCTTTAAATTAAAAAAGTCTACTGTATACAGCTCATTTCTAAGAATCAAACGCATATACTCAGACCAATTAGATTTTCTATACAACATTAATAACTTAACAAAACAATTCCTAAAATGTAAATACCCAATAAAAATAATAAAAGAAACACTAAATAAAACTATCCTGATAAATCGTAACACACTTCTCACATACAAGAAAAATAAAAACAACAATCGGATTCCCATGGTTTTTAACCACAATCAATATTCCCACACACTTATTCACAATTTAAAAAAGGATTACAAGAACCTCCAGTTACACAAAAAGATCAAAGACATTTTCGATAAACCACCCATAAATGCAAAGAAACAATCACCTAACCTATCAGCTACCAAATATCTAAACAATAGAAACCAATCAGGAAATTACAAATGTAACAAACCTCATTGCTTAGTTTGCAAACATTTAATAATAGCTAATATATTTTCTGTACACAACACTAATATCAAGATACAGCCACCTAACCTCACCTGCGATAGCCATAACGTAATCTATTATTTATTCTGCACCTTATGTCCTAATAGTGGATATATTGGTGAATCTGGAAATAATTTTAGATTTCGTTTCAATAATCATAAACAAACCATACGTCAAAACAACCCTTATTCCCCCATAGCTAAACACTTTAATCAATCAGGACACTCATTAGAAAACTTCAAATGTTTATTGATAGATTCCGATTTTAGTTCCACATACACACGCAGAAAAAAAGAAACATATTGGATTTTAAAATTAAACACACATAAACTAGGGTTGAATAGGGACTTGGGTGTTTTAAATCTTTATAAATATTTCAATAGTTAAGCAATTTTTTTTACATATAGTTAAAAAAATTTTTTAAACAACATTTAAAATATTTATGACAGATTTAAGTTAGGAATATCCAAACAGTGACGTTCCATATCACGTGACGTCCGCGTCTCGCGAAGGACGCTACTTGCTAACAAACAGTAATTTTAATTTATTTGTAACAAACAGTTATTTCTGATGAAAGATTGAGGATAATTTGAAATATCAAATATATATATAAATAAATACTTTCATAAAATAAAACATTATTATTTTTTTAATTTGCAACTTTTTATATATATATATATATATATATATATATATATATATATTCATGAATTATTCACACAAAAAACAAATACAAAGGTTAATGATTTAATTGGCGAGAAATCCATCGTCGCGAACAATTCAAATAATATACAAAAACCCCGAACCTGTTTATGAATGAAAAGATCCTTGTTTTTATAAATCTGTTGCATAAGTTCTTATTATTTTTACAAGCTTTCGTCTGTTCCTACAGACATCCTCAGGTATGGAATAGATTTTGTTCTTGTTTTTACTCTCAGTAATAAGAGGACAACGAAAATATATGTATTGTTGTAATCCGAAAAATGCTATTAGAAATGAGTTATTGTTTTTGGAGCGTGCAGTCGCAACGCTGAGTTTGAATTTAAATTTTACAATTGTGCGTTCTTATACAAATATGGTGATATATATATATATATATATATATTTATACACGTTTCATTAAATAATATAGACAAGTGTTGTCTATTTATTTTATGTAAAATTTTTTCGTATCTTCTGATAAGTTTGATAACATTATCATTAACCGAAAAAAGAAATTCACAATATTTATCCATTATTTTTTTAATATAATCTAAGCTTTCGCTTACTCAAGCCATTATCAAAGATGTAATTACAAACATATCAAACAATATACGGACACAACAGTGATGATAGTCTGTCATTGTTTAGTTTACATAGTGGATCACTAAGCAACGATGAACACGCCATATATAAGACGCTAGAAGCGAAAATCGCACCAAGATCTCATGACGTCACACATGACTACACGAGAATGAATTGGAGAATGAAATAAGGAAAGCCGTTGGTATAAACCAATGGCTTCTGTTACCAATTATAGAAATTATAGACATTTAAGAATATTTGTAGAGATTCCATAGTTGATTTTGTTTAGGTTGGGTTTTAACTGTTTGATGTATAATGCTTCAAGTATTTTTTAGTTTTTTGTCTATTGTTTTCATGTCGAAGTATAGTTGTGTTTTCGACAAGTATTTTACGGAATTGTGTGTGCGGGCAGGCATGTTGTTTTAAATGCCTAAAAATGTTAGAGTTTTCATTAAAATGTAGTGTCAAGCGTCGTGAAAGCGAGTTTGTGGTGTGACCAACATAAATATTATTTAATTCGTTGGAGATACACTCTCCCAAAGGGCACTTGAGAACAGGTGTACGAATTCTGTGGAAAAAGATACAAAATACAATTGTTACTGTTTGGTGAGACACAGCTGCCAGGTTCAGGGGCTAGAAGTTAAAGTTGACTGTTGAAAGGAATCAATGTACTGGGAAAATTATTAACCAAAATTTCCTGAGAAAGAAATTTATAATTGTGAAGACAGAATGAGCAATTGAGGGAGACGTCAGGAAGACTGACGTCATATAATGGCTCCTCCCGGAGGAGGGGGGATCTTCCAAAATTGGAAGTGTGAAACAGAGAAAGAAAGAACGAGAGGTCATGAAGACTGATGTCATATAATGGCTCCTCCCAGAAGTGGTGGGGGATCTTCCAAAATTGGAAATGTGAAACAGAACGAAAGAAGGAGACTGGTTGAATTTTAGGATATTTGCATAAAACCCCCCTTATGCACCTTCACCATACCAGTAGGAATGGACAATCATAAATACAATTAGCCCATAAATACAGTTAGCTGAAATTTTCATTCCACTGCCAAATATTAGAAACAGGTTGGGAAAAGAAAAAAAAAAGAAAAAAGAACTGTAAATATTTTTTTTTATTTTGATATATCATCTAGTGACTTATTCAGGCATTGTTTGTTTTATTTTCAATTTTGTGTGCATATTCAACTCCTTTGTTTAGCTTGGTTGAGATACCCCGGTGATAATTCAGCTTGACCCTCTTAGGATAAAAAATCACAATGTGGGTAAGAGAGGTCATAGTTGAAGAGGTCAACTTAAAGACCAGCTGCAGTATCAAACGCCACCAATGACTGACGAGTGTGGTATTCTTCGATACCAGAATTGATCCTGACCAAAGACAGCAGGTCACAAATACAGTGATATATTGTATGGGAACAGAAACCGAACAAATATATCACTATCCTTCAAGGAAAAGGAAAACAAAAAAATAGCCAATAGAGTAGTTTATTAGGGGACTGTGTGAACTGGCAGAAAATTGTAATTTCCTTCAAAAATATGACCAGATATGTGACTGCTTAAAGTAGGGACTTATCAGAGAAATTACAACTGAGAGAAGATCTCAGTTTAGAAAAAGCTATGTAGCTATGAACAGGTAAAACAAATATAGGAAATGCAGGATAAGTTGTTTGTTTACATCTTTTTAACTTTGTGGAACTATAGTCAAATTAAGAACTGCATTCAATTTTGAATTTCCATAGATTAGCAGTGACCTGAGGTAAAAGTACCCAGTAACACACAATGGCTCAATACTTTATTTCATAAGTGCACCTGTAGATAAATATGTCATCACCATAGCAATTTGTTAAGCAAACTTGGTTACAATGTTTCTAAATGAAGACATCACCTCACTAATAGTTTTTGATTGCTGCAAAGTAAATGGATAATCTCAACAACTGAGTGTAAATTTAAGTTAAGAAAAAATTTTGGTCAATAGTTTTATGCATTTATAAAATTTTTGGTCAATAGTTTTATGCATTTATAAAATTTAGTATAATTTTTTTCTTTTTTTTTGCAAGTCAGTTTTAAATTATTCTTAATTATGAAATTGACAAGAATGAACACAGTTTTTTAAAATGAATGAATATACTATTTATCAATATAAATTATTTTACCTACTAGTTATTTTTATGTAAAACTGAAATTTATGACAAAAAACAATTGTATTATTATTATTATAATATTTGTTTGTTACTGCATATCTTCATTCTCATTTTGACACAAAAAGTTTTCAAATCCAATTGACAAAAATTATGAGCACATCAATGAAAACTCAATGCAATTTTTACTTATTTTACATAAACATCAACTATGTAGGAGATTATAGATGTTAATGTATTTTTTAAATAAACAACTTTACTAAAATTATTTCAGATTCTATTATTTACATTTATTGCCAACAAAGATTAGTTTGAAAGATTTATATTTTGAAATAGCAAAAGAACAATCTGATATTTAAATTGTTTAAAAAAGGTTAAAATAATTCTACATCAAAAAAATATTTGCTGCAACTGGTAAGTTAATAAGGTAAGTTAATAACATAATAGGTAAGTTAATAAGGTTTTGTTTCTTATACAGAATGACTAATTGGGGGAAAATCTAGAGTGCTACTTGTAGTTATTTATATCTAGATAGTACTTCATGAACAACAGGCCATTAAAAAGAAGCAACATTTTTGTATGCTTTCTAGTTTTTTATCTGTGTGGTAAATACATAAAAAGATAGTTTTTATAATCTTTTTAAGATTTCTTGTATTTTGGACATGTATCTTTTTGTCTGGCTGGTTACTTCTGCTTGCTCCTACTATAGACTGGCTATCAACTTCAATTCAGGAGATCACAAATTTTTCTTGTTATACTGTTTGTTGCACTGTTCTTGTATATTTATAAAACAGTGTAATAACCAGTCCTTAAGAAAATATGTGTATTAAACTAATAAAACAAAAGATTTTTTTTTCAATGAAAAAAAGTAAATATTTATAAAATATTGGTAACATAGATTTTATAATTTCTAGTCTGATTGTTAGACTGAAAAACTTTTAAGTTTGAAATGAAAGATTTCAATGAAATTGTAATGAGTCTGTTGCAGACTGGTGATTGTGTTTAAATTGATCAGAAGGAATTTCGAGGCTGTGTTCTACAACATTCGTCCACAACAATTATTTAGAACAAATACTTGGAACAAATCATGCAAATAAAGTTGAAAACAAGACAAAAGTTGAATGCATAACAATAACATCAATTTATATACAATTTAATATACTGTGGGTTTAAGATTTGATGGATAAATGAGGATTAGTGTATTTAATTGTGTATTGTGTTATTGTGAATGTTTGGGTGCATTTGCAGGTATTGATTAGATTTGTTCACAGTATTAAACTGTTTGTTTGATCACGTAAAAAAACGTTCGGTGTTGAGGTTGAATCCTTAGTGTATGTACGTAAGTGTGTTTATACAAATATTCAAAGTTGTTCAGAGTTGCGTACCTTGAGAAAAATAGATTGTTAGTTACTGATACTTGTTATGTAGTGAGAAATATCACTTTGAAAGTATAGTAAGTGAAGTTTGAGAAATGTTCTAGAGAGAGATAGAGTGTGCCCGAAGGTTGCTGAGTCAGAGAATATTTTTTACGCGGCAAAGTCAGAGTTTTGACTGGCGTGGAGTTGATGGGCTTCTCTCTAGGTGAAGAGGTCTGACTGGTGAATTGGACTGAAATTCGTCCTTTTATTTGATTTGGGAAACCAAAGTAGGCTCCCAGTGGCCTGGCGGGAAAACAGATTTTTGACCATTGATACACATTCTAGGGTCGTCTCGACCAATAACAAGCCGAGTTTCACAATGTGTGGTGTTGATTGGTCAAAGCTAATTCTTATAGAAGTGTCTATTTTTAACGGGGGTGAGTAGACAAACATTGACGATTCTATAAGTCCTGATAAAAAAAAATAAAATATATAAACAAAAATAAAAATAATTCAAATTAAAATAAGGCATTTGCACTTTCCTGTAAAATCCTTATCTCTTTCTTTCTTTATCTAAACTTATATTTTTATACTTATCTCAACCTATGAGAAGGCTACCCTCAAATAAAAAGAGGAAGACAAGACTGAATATGTCTAAAAACACCAGAAGTTTACAGAAGCAGAGCTTACTTATTTGTGACTGAAAAATACCAAAGATAAGGGAGGCTTCACATATAACTTCCATTTACAAAAAAATGAAAACGAAATGATCGCCAGAAAATAAAATAATTTGGCCAATCAAAAATAATTGACATAAAGAGACTTTTTGATGATTAGCTGAAACCAAAGTTCTCACCATAAACTCTGAGCCTATTCAAAAGGGTATAAAACCTGATACAGCAGGGCTACCAGGAAATGGGATGTGGACAGCAGAGAGGAGACCAGAACAACCCCAGGAAATGACAGGACAAAAGAATGCAGCAATCCATGACACATGAAGAAGTAGTTAAGAGGTCATCTGCTACTGACATTTCCATCCTGTTAAATCTGACCTAATTTCTCACATTACTATTACTCCTACCATGGTCTGACTATTGAAATGAACATTTCTTCAGATTGCTATCAATATCTACTTTGTTAACAAACTTTTTGCTAGAAGAACATTTTAAAGAAAATAAATAAATTATTTATTTTAAACCATGATTCAGTTCATTTTAATCACAGTTTCTGATAAAATAATTATCCTACTACCTATTTACACAGGCAACTTTCTGAAATGAATCCATATTCCACAAGGTAATGAATTTCATTGACCTAGCACATAATGTCTGTGTATTTCAGTATTATCATGAACATTGTTTTTGATGTCTTCTAGTCTGTGTCATACCTTTGTACTGAGTGACAACTGACTTATTAGTAATCTCTTGACTGTATGCAAAATAGGGTAAGTCTGTTTTGTCTATGTCACTAGACCTCCTGAAAACAAAGAGATTTTATACTCCTCATTGATTAGTGACTTCTTTAAACAATAGTATAAGATCTTATATAATAATAGTATAAGATCTAAGGAGGAGTTATCCAGTTTTTTTTTTATTGAGGATTTAGTTCTGGACTCATCTACATTCTGATCTTCCAACTCCATGTCGGATTCATACAAACTATCTTCCATAGTTTCTTTAATACTAAGTTTTCTTTCACTATGATAACCACTCATACTTTCCTACCTTTCAGGTTCCTCCTCCTTTTTCATCATGACCTTTTCCTTGTCAATTCTAGGTCTTATCTGATCAGAATAAGTCAATAAATTCTGTTCACTTGTTGCTATTATAGCCAAATTATATCCCTCTTGTGCAACAGAGTTAACTTTTTCAAGATGATTCTCTGTATTTTTTGTACATTTTTTTTCCATTTATTGAATAGGTGTGGCAAACACACATCAGTACAGACACAAAAGAAGCCCCAGATCACATGCAAACATATCTGTCAACTCCATTATAACAGGTTACTGAAACTGGTCAAGATCCAAGTCTTTGTGAGATGCCTCATGTCAATAAAATTAACAGGAAAGCCAGCAGTGATCAAGACTCTGTGACTTGTGAAGTCAGTTTCATGCGCATTTTCCTCCTAAAGTTGCTGTGGTAGTTTTATTTTGTTACCTCCCACCTCTTTTCCATCTCTGCCTATTACTCTTGTAGTTGCTGGGAGAGCAATCTGTTAGGGTTTTCCTGCAAACGCAACACGCTCTTGCTGTACATTACAACATTAGGACATTATTAGAGGCAAATTTGTCTTCCCATCAATTCAAAGGGACTTTGCATTTTTCCAGCATATGGAATAGTTTTATAACTAAGTAATAGTCTCAGTAGGTAACTATGGTGTCTCTGAATGGGGAAAATGCCTTCAACCCCATTTTCACTGTTTGCACCATTCTTTCTGCAATTCCATATGATTGCAGGTGGTATGGTGGTATTTTATAAGGGAGGTATCCATTTTGTTTTAACCACAAGCACAAAGTTTCATCACAAAATTTTGGTGCATTGTCAGAGATTAATGTTTTTAACATTCTATTTGTGGAAAATATTACTTTTTTGTTTTATTTTGTTTTACTGTGTCTACCTTCCTATCCTGAACACTAACCACTTTAGGCTATTCAGAGAATGAGATGACCAAAATTAAAAATAGTTCTATGCCTTTAACATGTGCATGATGCATATGAATGCAGGTCCATAGCTTTTTTCTTATATAATCTTTATGAACCCCCAAAATAACACTTTCAACAATCTTTATGAACCCCCAAAATAACACTTTCAATAATCTTTATGAACCCCCAAAACAACACTTTCAAAGTAAAGCAAAATAACAGCGTCTGTTTCTAGCCTTTTTTACAAAGAAAATTAGTGACATCTTCTCTCTTAACTTCCTTCCTTCTTTTTCTCTCTATGGTTTTTTCTTCTCTACCCCTTCAATATCAATATATAACTTCTGTTAAGTTAACTGTTTAAATGTGTCAATATCTGCTAACTCACTCATGTCTTCTCTCTCCCCACTCACTTTGTTAATTTACATATGTTTAATACAACCCGTCAAAAATGTGTAAATTTTATTTTCATTTTTTGTTTGGAAGTAAAGTCTGATGATCCGCAGTCCTTTAAAAGGGCTGTGGTGAAATAATTTATTACATGGAACCTTAAAGTGGTCTGTTTTTATTTAAATTATTTTCTCTGAATTTACATTGAGCTCTCTGGATTTTATCCTCCTTAGGTTTACCCATACGGATTACCTAGTTTTTCATAAACTATATATATATATATATATATATATATATATATATATATATATATATGTACACAGGGACTCTTTTTCTCTCTTGTATACACGAGAACATTTACATTTGAAAGTTTGGAACCTCCAAATTTACATTTGAAATTTGGAACCTCCAAATTATCCCTTTGTCCATTATGTAGAATAAAAAGAAGCAAATGGCAGATGCTATAAAAGTGTGTGACAATGCTAGACTGTCTGGAAATCTTTGTTGCCTTTATAAATGGCAGAAGGAGGTATATATATATATATATATATATAACTAGACTCGTTTAAAGAAAAAACCCTCGAATTTTGATTTGCTAATCAAATCAATCTCGAGGGAAAAAAAAGGTTTTAAAAAAAAGAAAGAGCTACAAACATGAACTTCTGTCGACAAAAAATCGCACAGATGCAGGTCTGAAGCCCAAAGAAAAAACCCCGATACGAGTAAACAACTAACTAACAAAAGAGCTCAATACAACCTAGGTAGGTTTGTCTGGCTCACTAGGTGTATATATATATATATATATATATATATATATATATATATATATATATATATATATATGTGTGTGTGTGTGTGTGTGTGTGTGCCAATGCAAGACTGTATAGGGCATACATAAGCTCTGAGTATGTTATGAGATCATAGCATTGGATAATTGATAAAATAAATTCATAGATTAATTTAGTTTGACTGACCTTTTGTTATATACATATGCAAGCAAGATAAAGACATTTGCTTTGAAACTACCACTTAGTTTCTGATTGGTCCACAATCAGTGAGCTCATATCTTGGTTGAGAACAACCTCATCTGATTCACTAGACTATGGTGTTCATATCCTATTCAGGACAGTTTCTGATTGGTTGGTTGTAATATATTATTTATTTTTCACATCAATATCACTTATATACATAATTATAATAGGTTGTCCCAAAACTTCGTAAACACTTGTGAAAAATTAAATTTTTATGCAATTTTTAATTGTTTTTTTACTTAATTGTTTTTTGCGTTTATATTGTTATAGTGATCTTCATCTTTGTATTCCAGATGGCAATTGATAAAATTGAGCTGCGAGTTTGATTCATTACTGCTGGAAGCAAGGTCTTTCAACCAGAAAAGCTGCAGAAGAGATTTGTGCTGCCGAAGGTGAGGGAACAATTGCATATGCGGCGATCTCAGAGTGGTATAAGCGTTTCGATTCTGGTGACATGAGTCTTGAAGATAAGCCTCATTCGGGATGGCCGTTAAAGTTGGATGATGGAGACTTGCAAACCGGGTTGGACATTGCGCCTTCATCGAGCACTCGATAATTGCCTGATGAGCTTGGAGTTGGCAAATCGACAATTAACCCTTGAAGCAACTTGATTTTGTTCACAAAAAGCCGCGCCAAGATCCACATGAACTCACCGAAGCACAAGCCAACAGACGAGTTGAAATTTGCCGTCAATTGCTCAGCAATCCAATGGACGAGTGTTTTTGAAAGCGCATTGTGACATCGGACGAGAAATGGGTCGATCTGGTCCAGCACAATCGAGACAAGCGATGGGTTCAGAAAGGACAAGAGACACCATCGGTTCCAAAACAAGATCGATTTGGCAAGAAAGTCATGTTGTGCGTTTGGTGGAACTTTGAAGGAATCGTGCATTTTGAGTTGGTTCCAAATGGTCTTGCCATCAGTGCCGAACTTTACTGTCAGCAACTGGAGTGGGTCTACGAAAAGTTGAAGCAAAAGTACCCGGCTCTGATCAACCGAAAGCGCGCTTTGATGCAACAGGACAATGCCAAGCCACACACCACCAGGAAGACCAAGGACAAGTTTGAAGAGCTGGACGGCGTTGAGGTTCTGCCACATCCAGCCTACAGTCCTGACTGTGCTCCATCAGATTACGGCCTTTACCGCTTAATGCAACACTTTCTGAAGGGCCGCCGATTCGACTCGTTTGATGAAGTCGAGGAAGCGTGTCAAAAATTCTTTGATTAGAAGCTGGCTGAATGGTACTTTCACCAGATTCGAAAGCTTGCAGATTGATGGCAGAAAGTCTTGGAAAATGATGATCTTTATTTTGAGAAATAATTTTTGTTGTTTTTGTTATTACTTGGTGAGTAAAATTTCAATTTTTGCAAGTGTTTATGAACTTTTGGGACAACCTAATATATTGGCATAAAAATTGTACTGTGTCATGCTATAAATAAAAATGTAAAAATAGATCTTATATGTATGAGATATAAATTGTAATAATAAAAAAGCGAAAAGCATTAACCAAGCAAGAGTATATTTTATAATTATTAGTATACATTTCGTATTTATGATAAGATAAATTTCAATCTTCTATCTATTCAATAAAAGAACTTCAAGACTTATGCTTTATATTTTTGTTTAATGCTTCTTGAAAGACAGGCCCACCCCACAGTTTACTAAAGAGCTGTCTCTCATGGTTAAGTGATGAGTGAAAATATTCTGTTGAAGCATAACTGACCATTGCCTTTATAGACTGCCTCAGTAAAATGTCTCCGTCACATCGTTTCTTCAGCCATTCCATTGCCTCACTAACTGGGTCAGTATTATCCCCAATAACATGGTCAACCAGGCCTAGTTTGAGAGCTGACTCTGCATTGAGGATTTTACCTGTGCTGAAGAGTTCCAAGGCAGTGCCTCGACCTACCAAATTTACAAGACGAGTACCCCCACCCCAACCACTTATTACACCCATTTTTACTTGAACAAAACCAATTTTGGCAGTTGATGACATCAGGCGAAAATCACAGGCAGTAGTTAATTCTGCTCCACCCCCAAGAGCAAGGCCTTCAACAAAAGCCACACTTAAAAGTGGAAGATTCAGTAGTTTGGTAAGTGTTGTTTGCATAACACTAGACATTTTTTCGCCACTGATAGAATTGCCAAGGGCTCGCACTGTTTTCAGATCACCACCAGAACAAAAAGTATGAGAAGTGCCATGAAGGAAAAGGCCTTTTCCAGATTTCCATTTCTCCAATTCTGATATAATCTCCACCAGGTCAACTATCATTTTTCCTGAAATTAGAAAAAAAAATATCATCCTAGTAATGCAAGATAATGTTTAAAAAAATGAAAATCAATGTAAATTATGTAACGAGCATGCGTGGAAGCGTCCTCACCAGGCACACCTTGGAGTACCATAATGGACTCGACTGAGGACTACAAGAAGACGCGCGAGTCGTTTGGTATCTTTTCTTGGGCAACAAAAGCCATTGCGGTCGGTCGTCTGTCGGCAGCAGTCTTGGGTGCCATTTTGCTCATTTGCTGTTGTAAAGTGTTTGTTTGGAAGAGAAGGCGTTCATTTCAGGTATGCAAGAAGGCGTTCGTTTCAGGTTTGCAAGAAGGCATTCATTTCAGGTTCGCAAGAAGTTGTTTTTTTTTTTTTCCGTTTTCTCACACAAGCTATTTCGGCATTATGGCCTTCGACCCGAAGCTGATACCACTGTTCGACGGAAGTGATTCTGGACAGTTGGTAGTGGAATGGTTGGAGAAGGCGGAACTAATATGTCAGTTGAGCGGTGTGAAGCGAATTGAGTGTGTTAGCCCGATGCATTTGGCAGGTGGTGCATATGCTGTGTACCAGCAATTGAGTGAGGAGAAGCACGCAGACTTCAATTGTGTTAAGAAAGCATTATACACGGCTTTTGCCTTAGATCCCTTCCCTGTGTGGAAGCAGTTTGCAGCATGTCGCCTTCAGCCAGGGGAGACGGTTGACATCTTTTTGGCAGAACTGCGCAGACTCGCGGTTCTGTTTGGTGGCATATCAGAAAAGTGTTTGCAGTGTGTATTCATTGCTGGATTGCCTGAGCATGAAGAGGAGCTTTTAAGAGCGTCATCCCAGATGGAAGACCCGAATTTGTCACGTGCTGGCACGAGGTCGTGCTATTTTGAAGAAGTGCACTGGTTCTACGGAGCAGGCCGCAGTGGCTGCACAGTTGAAGGAAACAGATGTGCACACGAGGTGCTATAAATGTGATAAACCCAATCATAGGGCGAGCGATTGTCTCCTGGGTTGTGAACCATCCAAAGGTGCTGGTACCAAGCACCGACGGATCATCACTTGCTATCGATGTCATCGGCAAGGGCACATTGCTTGGTGTGTCTGGGAAACGGGCAAGGGGGTGAGAATTCAGCGCCAATCTCCTCCCCAAAACCCTTGTAAATGGCGCATTGCCTGTAGTGACAGTTCGTATAAATGGAATACCACGTATAGCTCTGGTGGATACAGGATGCACACAGTCACTAGTCCGCAAGTCATGCTGTTGAGCATGGACAAGGCGCACTTGACTGCTGTGGAATCGGAGTGGTACAAGTTAGCGTTGGTGCAAAGCCGTCCATCGCTATAGAAGCCCTAGTCGTGCACGGAGACCTGCTTTGATTTGACTTGCTGCTCAGACACGACATCAAACAGTTGGGAAGAATATCTGTAACTGGCACCGGTGAGGTGAAGTTTCCGCAGTGTGTCGAATCAGTCGTTGCTGCCATCACCATTACCGAGCCCAACATTAAAGTAGAATTCGATGAAACCACTCGGAGGTGGACCGCATCTTGGAAATGGGCTGGCAACCAACCTCCGGGTACGTTAAGAAATAGACTGGCAGAATATTCAGCTCCCGCACAAATTCGGGAGGAGTATGATTGGGAACTCCAGATTTGGATAGATAATGGCTGGCTGCTTCCTTACCCGGAGGAGGAACTCGGACCCCCAAAGGGTTTAATCCCCCTCATAGCCATTCTGCAGGAAAACAAACAGAAGGTTCGGCCCATTATGGACTATCGGTCACTTAATGAGTACATTGACGTGTATGTGGCCAACACAGATGTTTGTTCTCAAAAATTATGGGAATGGCGTCAGCAAGGACCAAATGCTGCAGTGCTGGACCTACGCCAGGCCTATTTGCAGGTACACATCGACAAGTCTCTTTGGCCATTCCAAACAGTGGAGATTAAGGGACAAAGGTATAGTTTAACCCGCTTAGGATTTGGGCTTAATGTTGCCCCTTTATTCATGTGGGCCATTGTTAATACCGCCTTGAGACAGGACGAGATCGTCAACGCAGCCTCCTCCTCTTATATTGACGACGTTTTTGTTAATGAGAGTGTGTGTTCTGTGGTCCGCGTCAAGAAACATTTGGAGCAGTTTGGTCTGTCAAGTAAGACCCCAGAGTGGCTAAGAATTGGCACACACGTGTTGGGATTGCATGTCTGGGAGGAGCAAGGAAAACTGCGATGGTGTCATGGATGTGAACTTCTGGTAGTCCAAGATAAACTTACCCGCCAAATTGTCTTCTTGCTGTGCGGGAAGTTGAGGTGCGAGCGGTGGTTAGGGGATGCAAGGAATGCCAGTCAATTGATCTGGCCCCAGTGTGTTGGGATGGATGTAACCCATTTCGGACATCAACTATACCTGATGCTGATAGACTGCAGCCCCAATCGTTTTGTCATTTGGAAGCCCTTGCACCGCCAAGACTCTGCTAGCATCATCAAGCAGTTGGAAGTAGTGTTTTGCGAAAGAGGGACACCGATTGAGCTGCTTACGAATAATGGCGCAGCGTTTTGTGGAGAGAGGTTTGCCGCTTTTGCAAAGATGTGGAATGTACAAATACGATTTTGCCGTGCCCACATACCATCAGGGAATGGGATTGTTGAGAGATCCCATCGTACAATAAAGCGCATCGCAACGAGAACATGGTGTTCAGTTTTGGAAGCTGTATATTGGTACAATGTTACCCCAAAGGACAATAAAACAGCTTCAACTGCACTGGCGAATGCAACCTACACCTACAGGGTCCGCATTAAGGGTATTGACACAGCTTTGGTGCATGACGACACAGTTGCCAATCCTTATATGGTAGGAGAGACTGTCTGGATGAAAAAATCCGCATGAAAGGTGTACAACACTGTTCAACAAGGGTACGGTGACAGAAATTAATAGTCCACACTCTATCTCTGTTGATGGAATACCGCACCACATAAAAAATGTGCGTCCAGCATGTGGGAAGGATTATTCCGCCAGCAACCACGTTAGTTCTTCTTCTTCTTCTTCTTCTGATGAAGACCCAATGGTATATATAAAATCACAGGAAGAGCACACCTCAGAGAGTGGCGCGCCTGATGAACCTATGCGGGATGAGCTCAGCAAGACGTCTGAAGAGAGCACCACTGAGGAAGCGCTTGAGACCATACCACTTAGACGAAGCACCAGGCAGAAACGGCCTGCCCCACATTGCCATTTGTGTGATCTTGAGATCAGGGAGGAGTGTAACGAGCCTGCGCGGAAGCGTCCTCGAACTGCGTGTGTGTATTGTCGCCAGGCACACCTTGGAGTACCATAATGGACTCGACTGAGGATTACAAGAAGAAGATGCGCGTGTTGTTTCGTGTCTTTCCTTGGGCGACAAAAGCCGTTGTGGTCAGTCATCCGTCAGCAGCAGTCTTGGGTGCCATTTTGCTCGTTTGCTGTTGTAAAGTGTTTGTTCGGAAGAGAAGGCATTTGTTTCAGGTTCGCAAGTAGTTCGTTTTTGTGTCGCAAGAAGTTGTTTTTTGGGTTTTTTTTTCCATTTTCTCGCACAAATTATACAAATATTTAAAAATTATAAGTAATCTTATGGAGTAAAGTTTGTTCAATGTAAATTTACAAGAAATAGAAACTATAACAGGTCATTGACATTTCATAAAGTAGAAAACTATTGTTGCCCTACATGCTCAAGACATTCAATACTTGTGGCTGATCGATCGAAGTGATCACTTCAATCCAGGTCTGAACTTATCCCACATTGTGTTTTGCTTGATCATAAGGCAGCCAATAACAAATCTCCATATGGTATCTTCATATTGGGCTGGTTCAAGCCAGGCAAAGATACACAATAAGAAAATAACACTCGAATAAATTAAAAAATGAAATACTTTTTTTTATATCAAGTCCTCCGTACAGTAATTGGTTAAATCAAGAGTTTGCATGCAACAATTATTGACCCAACCCACTTCTAACATGGACATGACACTTTTGTTGACTTGATAAAGTTTGGCACAAGGCTGAAGTTAGAGGTTCTCTTCAGGAGATAATCACGTGGGGTGTATTACAATTGGTGACTGGAACAAACTCTCTGCTTTCTTGCTTTGAGGCATCCATATTTATTGATGTTCACCCAAACTGGCATGGGGCATGGCACAGTTGGAGAATTTGGTGTTTCACCCTGCTCACCATCTCCATTGTCTGGGTCCTGAGAATTAAATTACTTCATAATTTTGGGGAATTCCCTTCTTCCATGGGTAATGGTTACAGGCATTACTCTGCCCCATAACTTCCTCCTATTATCATCTCCCACTAATCCTCTTCAGTGGGTGTGAGTGGCTCCTCCACCTTCCTAGGTGACTCATCTGTGCCCGCTATCTCAGTCACCCTCTGACCAGGAATGATTAATTCTAAGTTCGTTGTTTATGAAAATAAAGTTTCCCATTCATAGCTTGTATATTTAGCTGTGTGTGATAAGTGTCAATCATTGTTGCTCTTTTGGCCTGTCACAGTTCACAGTTATGTTTTTTCATTGTTGAAAACCCCACCACACAATTCAGGTGGCTGAATTAAATTTTCAATTTTTCCCATGGGTTTTATTCATTAACCCTTCTTATTTATCAGTAACAAAATAGTGTCACATCTCTCTTTTACTTCTCCTGTCATTTACAGGTAAATGACATATCAAAATTACTAATACACTATCATGCAGTATTAATTAAAAAAAATAATTTTTCATGCAGTGTGTTTAAAAAAAGTCTTTCCTCTGCTTTCTTTTCATGCAATTTTTTTTATTTTTTTAATGTGTGTTTGTTTTATGGTTTGTTCTTCTTGGTTACCATTCTTCTCTCTGCAGTGAGAGTTTTTGGTTCTTCTTTAACATGTGTTGGCTCTATTTCTACTTCTATTGAATTCAATCCAGTTTCTTCCTCGTCTATATTTGACCTGTTTGGGTAAAGATCGCTGTTCAGAATCCCTTTCTCAGGTTGTTGCATGCTCATCAAAACTTAATCAATTTCTTCTTATACTTTCTTCTAAGTTTTCATATCCCTGCTACCACTGCAGCAATGTTTAACAAGGTACCTATCATGGATGACCAGTTTATTATGATTTACTATCCTTCAGAACCATACTTTCTTTCCCCAGAACATTTAATCTGTCCTTTAATTGATTCATATCAATATTTTCTATGGGCCTTAATAACTCTGGCATCTTTCCTAGTGTAAGTTTAAGGAATTCATTCATTACTGGTTTCCATAATTCTGTGCAATTACCTAAGCTTTTGTCAATTATGCTTATAATTGAATCCTTTTCTTCATATTTCTCTTCGGCCTGGTAATATGGGGGTAGGGAGATGGATATCCTAAATGCTGAGTATGCTAGGGGTAGTTTTATCAAGAACAATGGTGGTTTGACTCTCAGTATCTTAGTAGGTTCTCCCCCATATAACCTAGACAGATTTTTGTGTTCCCACTATCCAAACTCCATCAGATATATTGATAGCTTGTGATTCTTGGAGTTTGGTTTGTGCCCAGTGTTCAGCTAAAGAAGAATTGGTTTGAGGTACAGTCAAAAGTTGAAGCAGTGGTTCAGATTTGGCTTCAACAGCAGTTGTCCATAAAGGGTGTGTGCCACTTAGTTTTTCCTATTATCCTTTATTGATTGGCTGTACTTCCTCTCTGCAAGAACAGGAAAAAGGCCCTTGATCACTTGTTGGCCAGCCTCTTGTGGAGTGGGTGCAAACATCTGGTCTGCAGAGACTGTTGTCGAACATCCATGTCATGGAGGGCTAAGAATGCTGCACTTGATGCCCCATCAGCACACTTTAAGGTTGGTTTTCCTATGCTGTGCATTGACAGTGAACTTGATTTTGGAGGGGAGTGTTAGGGACACCTTCCCTAGCTTTACCATCACTCTCACCATTTCGGAGGCTGAGCACAATTGAAATTCCTGCAACTGGTGACCTTGAGGGCTATTCATAGGTTCAGTGATCTTTCATGGCCTTGTAGACTATTGTATCGTAATCTAGTGGAGAGGGTCATGATGGACCATCTTTGTGGCCGGCTCGGCTTGTTGGCATCAGATGCACTCTTTCTGGACTTGGGCACTAGCAGCAAACTCACTCAGCAACCCTGAGTTTTTGCTTACTTGGTGATTGATTCAGAATGTGCTACCTCTCAATGATGAAACCTCAGATAGAGGGGAACAGATTTGCCCAACTGTCATCAGTGTGACCTTGGCTTAGAAGAAATGGCTTCACATACCTTTTTACTATTGTCCTCAAGTGCACCCTTTCTGCGACTACGTCAGTGAGTTGACGGCTCATATCACTCTCAATCAGCTTATCTCCATTGATGTCATGTACACATGTGACAACGTGTCACCCTCATTCTCTGGAGTGAAACAGATGGGGTTTCTCATGTTGACAAGGATTCTTTGGGCATCAGCTCAGGATGAAGATCAGATCTGATAGAAAGCCTTTGATATTGACAGATTTCAGCAAAAAGTGGTTATTTATGGTGAGCCTGGTTCGTGTGAATGGGGCTAGCCTTGATTTTAAGTCCCCTTAATGCAACGGGGTGGTTTCCTGTGAACCCTCCTCATGATTTAGACACTATTTGTTTTCCTAGTTAATGTGAATAAGTGTTGTTCCTGGCCTGTTCCCAGCATGCTCTTTTGGTATGATTCATGTTGAGATTCCCAACCTCCCCAGTTTGTTTTTGTCCCCTTTTTTCATATCGGCTGGGTCAGCCTTTGATTTTCTCATTCCATCATTTATTTATTTATCCTTCTCACTCCAATAATGAGTGCGCTTCTTAATTCTATCAGCAGAATACAGCAGTCACTCTTATTATTTTGTGGGTTGGACAGGTCCTACTAATGTCTGTGTTGTTTTAGTTTTTTTTTGTTGTATTCTTTAGTTTGTTTTTGGGGTTCATTCCCTCCCCCATCATTTCATGTTTCATGAAAATTTTTATATATTTTTTATAAGGAAAAAGAAAAAAAATGAGACCTTGAACATTTATCAAATTTTTATGTCATGAGGTGTTTTGTGGGCCCCCTATGAACATGTCGTATTGTGGTATATGTAGGATTGAGAGGTGATGGATAAGTTCTTGTGGTGATTGGTTATATTGTAATGAATGAATGGGTTGTAATTGTGATTAACTGGGACTAAGATAGTCAGCAAAGACCAGCCTTTCTCCACTTCCCCTACAGCTATGTGCCAAAATTTTGTATGAAAATACAAAATAAATAATCACTCCTCAGAAGATTGAAATCAACAGTTTTATGAAAACTTGATTTCTTTCTTCAAATATAAATGTTAATATTGATATTTTAATCTAAGTAGCATTTAATCAACCTGATAGAATTTATTTTCTGTGTTGCTTTAGATGCATTAATTGTGCAAATCTGACAAAATTATTTAATGAACATTTATTAATTGCTTTTTCACTATTAATTTTAATCTGTCTATAAACTGATTTGAAAAAATATTGAAATTATTTTATAACTTTTTCATTTATTTTCAACTGAACACAATAATTAAATATATAAATAGATAAACCACTTGTTTGACTCAAATACATTTTCAGATTGCACAAGCCATTTTTGGCAAAGTTAATACTTTTACTAATTATTTAATCATAACTACAAACCTAAAATAAACAAAAAGAGCTACATGCATTAGTAATCTCTGTAATAAAAGTAAATGCTGAGAAGTCATTATTACTTGATGAAAGTAAATTACCTGATAAGGCATTCTTCTTCTCTGGGTGATTAAGAGTAATTTTTGCAATTCCAGATTCCTTATCCATTATCAAATCTACAGAGCCACCAGAAAGTTCAGAAAACTGTAAACGTACATTATCAGGAATGGTTTCTGAGAATAAATGTGCCACAGATAATTGGTATCCTAAGGGAAAATAAAGAAAAGATAAAAATTAGTCAAATACAAAAACAGAAAATCCAGTCCATTCCTAAGAAAAGGAATTTAATTTTTTCAGTTTTTACATTTGTCATTATTCCTTATCCGTGAGAAATAATTTTTTTCTCACAATCAAATTTAAAGGCAGAAAAGTCGTAATACCTGCTCATTCAAAGCAACAAAATAAAATTAATATTAGCACCACTGTAATCTTTTATAGCAAAATAAACTCCCAGATTTTCAACTGAATAACACCTTATCCTTACTTTTTTCCTATTATTTGTGTAGAAGAAATACATTTACCTTAAAAAAGATTGAGAGCATGTGCATGCCAATGCCATTGGTTCCATGGTACAAATAAAAACCGAGGCAAACTCATTCCACCATTTCTAAAAGAAAATGGTTAATAGAATAGCCCAGATGTGCTACCTACAGGGTTGAAGTCAGAGAAGTAGACAAGTGGATTTGCAGCTATTTTGTGAGAAATTTAACAACCTCCCATACAGGGTTGTGGCTTGATGAACAAAGAAAGAGACAACTGAAAATTGTAAAAACATTCTTTATACAAGGAACACAATACCTAACATGAGAGGGAACAAATGAAAATTTCTAAAAATATATTCTTTATCAGTTACTGTTAAAGCTTTGGGATGAGATCCAATTAAATGTGTTTGAAATAGATGACAATTATCTGATTGGTGCTTCATATTATCTGCATGTCATTGCATTATTCAGGTCACCATTTCTGTTCTGAGTGGTCTGGAGACACATCTCATCACTCCATATTCTTCTTGGCATATCTGATCTGGAGTAATCTAAAACACATCCATTCACTGTGTGTTGGATTCAGCATCTGTCAGTTGGTGCTCAAAATCCCATTTCATATCAAATCTTGGGCCTCACCCACTATCACTTTATAATAGACTCTTCCTATCATCAGCAGGAGTCATCTATCAAAGGGAGATGGCCTATATTTTTTATATATACTTTGGATTTGAAGCTCTGTGAATTTGTGACAGTTTACTACATTATTGCAAAACTTCAGTGATCCATATGGAATAATCAGAGTTTGTTTTATCTGTTACAATCTTAAACTCTCCATCAACAAAATTTACATCCCCATTGTTCATAATCTCTACAATTTCAAGATGAATATCGACTATCTTAAATTTATACAGTTTCAAACAAAATTACAGTAAATGTTGAAGAAGGATTCCTGAATATAAGGAAATTTTTGAGTTTCTTCAAGAAAAGAAAAGTATGAACTGCTATATGAGTTTTAAAAAAATGATATTTGAGAAATAGTAATATCATTTACAGGTATGTAAAGAATACAGTTTAATTAAAACTTGATTTAAGATTTTAGCTTTTTCTAAAAGAAAAATGCTATATCCTTATTTAATGACATGAATACAGTTTATAGAACATTTTAAAAGGAAGGTTATCACGGGATCTGAGGGTAATTCTTATAATTATCTATAAATAGGTATCCCAAACTGTCCTAGTATACAGTGTAAAAACATCAAAATAGTGAAATATCCTTCTATTTCAACTGTTGATATTTTGTATATTTTAAAGGCTATTTTGATAAAATTAGCAGGTAAAAAAAAAATTAATCTTTTCCCTTTCTAAAGATACAATAATTTTTATTCCATGTCATTTTCAAATTATGCCACTATTTCAATGACAGACAGCACTTTTAATGCATTCTCAAAGTTGGCAGTTCCATAGTGATGTTTTTCAAATCTGTTGCACTCCGAATTGTGTCTTCCTACATATATCAAAATATTGTTTGTCAATTTGGTGAGGTAGCCATAAGGCTTGAAGATGTCTTTCACAAAAATTTCTAAGTTGAAAACTTTAATGGATGAAATACCAGAGAAATTCAACTCTTAAAAATGAAAATAACGCCTTCTTGTATTTAATAATCAGTTGGTTTCTGAAGTTAAATTACAATCCAAGGGGGAGTGTCAACTGTTAAAAGCTGGTCAAAAGATGTAAGTGCACAGGTCACACAAGAATCAACAGGGTTCAACTCACGCAGTGAAACTTTTACTCACTCTGATCCAAACAAATGCTCCATACTCTACAAGGTCACTCTGACAACTGACTGTGTGATCCACTATTTAATACTATTTCTAATCATGCATGCAAATGACCAATAGTATTAAAAAGAGTATTGTCACACATGTATAATGGGACTATTGCAAATGGTTACTCCTTGCGACATCAGCCACGTTGGATTTACACACCAAACAGGTTGAAATAAGTGTATTCTCTCGCTGCACTCCTCCCTGATATCACTATCACATAAGTGACAGGGTGACAATGACCACCTTCACTGAGTGCTTATTCTTAGTTGGGGAGATGGCTCTTCTGCCTGCATTCTTTGTTCCTGGTCTCCTCACTATTATCATTATCAGACAACTCTGTTACGGTCATTTCTGGGTCTATAGGCAGATTGCCCAATCCTGTTTACAGAGGGAGCAGAGTCTCAAAGTCACTCTCAGATGATGCACTACTCCCTCCATCTTCTTCCAGGGTGATCAATCCATAACAAGAGCAATGATCTTTCACATGGCGTGGTACACCTTTTATCCATTTGTCTCTTGCCAAATCTTCTAGTGCATTTGCTGTTCGGGGTTTTAACCTACATATGGTCTCCCACTTGATACAGAGCATCTACACTTTCAATAAGTGATGGTGCCACACCTATTCCTTTTACCCACTGATCGTACTGGTAGATTCTGTTGGCTGGTGTTGTTGACAGTGTTGTGTCATCCTTGGGAGTCACATTGTACCAGTACACAGCCTCTTGAATAGAGCACTGCAGCAATTCTTTTGACAGCGCAATGACACCATTGTGCTATACCATTCCCCTCTGGGACGTAGGCACACCGCTATTACATTCTTACTTTCCATTCATCTGCAAAGATATAAAATTCTTGGCCACAAAAAGTTGGAGCATTGTCAGTTAATATTTAGACCAGTGGACTGCATTCATAAAAGACAGATCTTAGTTGTTGTATGATGGTTAATATATCCAAATGCACCAATAGGCACCATATGATGAAACATGTTGGACCACAATCTGTCAGCATTAAAAAGTGACTGCTATCATAATGCATTTCATCCATACCCAACCAGCACCAGTTGATGTCCACGTTGAGCTTTCCTTTTTGACAATGGACTGGAACTGGGTCCACCGTCTGACACTGTTCACAAGTTTGTATGGCCAATTTCATAACTGCTTTTGTAGTTGAGGGACACACTTTTCAGACATAGTGGGTGGTGTGCCAAACATCAAGATGTCCACACACTGAGTCATCTCTTTATTACTCCAGTTGCTGCTCAAAGCCACCCACAGACAGGAAAATGCCCTACCAGCTCCCTGCAAATGTAATATACAGTGCATTGTGTCAGTATGCCAAGAAGTACCAGAACTATGCTCCGTCACTTCCACCATAGATTGTTGTGTTCCCCCCAGACCTCAGGACTTAATAAAAGAGCCTCATTCTTTAGGCGTTTGGGTTCCTTACTGATCAAGCTGAAGGATTCTAACCTTGTCCAGACCTCATCTGCAGACATTATGTCCTCATTGACATAGATATTTTCAATGTAGGCTGATATGGCTTTCATCATTGCCTTAACGATTACTTTCATTATTAAGGGCACCACATTGAGGCTGAACCCCAAGCATGTCAGACAATATCTTGTCCCTTTAATTAATACTGTCTGAAATGGCTGCAGTGACTCATGAATTCTTATCTGCAGATAGGCCCTCTGCAAGACTACATGAAACCCCTGCTGGTGCTACTCCTTCAGTTTGACTGCGCACACATCAGTGTTTGAAAAGAAGGCATCCACATGTTGGTTCAGTTCTCTGTAATCTATTACCATTTACACTTTGTCTTTGGTGGGCTGTGCAACAGCCATCAGTGGAATCAACTCTTGGGGGGGTGCCTAGCCATTCTTGGGGATATGGTATCAGCCAACCATTATTAATCCACAACTGCAGCTCCTTCTTGTATGTGGCCCTATTCTTATTGGACACTGCATACTCTGGAATTACATTATGCAACTGATCTGGTGCTTCCACTTCACAATCCAGACCCTCTCTTTATGGTTAAATGTGGCACAATTGTCTGGTTCCTCAGTAGAGATAGCTGCACATGATTCTTATCTTCAACAAGCAGTACATTTCCAGATGGCATGATTTTAACACCCTCTTGTGTGTCAATGGCAATTAATAGGTTGTAGCCAAGGGTCTTTATAGCATATTGGGCCTTCATACCTGTTGTCAACTGGGGAGGATCATCAGTGTTTCCATCATGTTGGAATACTGCATGTTTGTTGTTGCAACATATTCTGTTTCTTTGGGGATGTTCCAAGCTCAGGCCAGCAGCTGGTCAGTCGGTAATTTATCAATCATAGATGATACTTGCAAAAGCCTAATGACATCTTCGGGTAATCTTGCTAAAAATTGCATCCCAGTATCTGGTCATTCATGCCGCCAAATGACACAGATTTTGCATAAATCGGCTAGGTAGACGTTGACCATTTCTCCAGGGCAGAGTCACCACCCAACGAACTGTTGCCATTACTATATACGTCCATTCCAAATGCCTTATACAAGGTGTGCTTTATCTCATCTAAGTTTGTGTTATCTCCAAGCTGCTGGTACACCACATATGCTCCTCCAGTTAACCTCAAAGGAATAATGGTTGCTGACTCCTTTATTTTGCATAATTTGCAAATGTGATCAGCTTTCTCGAGCCATTCAACAACAGACAGCCCATCAGAAAACCCATCAAATTCCGGTATCAACCATATGTTGAATCTGTCCATTATATATAAATTGCCAAAAAGAGCTTGAATCACAATCCAGAA